TTCTCTCGTTTCTGATCTCCCCTCAAGAACAATTAGTGTATACCTTGGGAGGTGGGATGAAACACTTCTCTATAATGCCAGCCCTCAGGAAGCTGAGGAAAGAGAACTACCACTAATTTAAGGCCAGCCTAAACTACATAGCAAGACCCTGTCTCAAAAAAACAAACAAACAAAAAAAAAAAACTGAAAAAGGATTAGCAGATTTGCTTTGGTATTTTGGGGACAGAGCTCATTATGTAGTTTAGGTTGGCCTTGAACTCGCAGTGTAACCCAGGATGGCCTGGAATGCATGGCAGTTCCAGTCTCAGCTACCCAGCTGCTGAGATTACAAGCGCCAGGTTTCTCCAGAATTTTATTCCCGGGCTGGGGATTTAGCTCAGCGGCATAAGCGCCTGCCTTGCAAGCAGGCAGTCGTGAGTTCGATCCCCGGCACCGATAAAAAGGAAAAAGACAAAAAAAAAAAAAAAAAAAAAAACAAAACAGAATTTTATTCCCATCACTTGTTCAAATTCTTCCTCCTCCCACCAGCACTGGGGATTGAACCCAGGGCCTTTTGCACTGAACTGCATCAGTAACTTTTTTGTTTGTTTTGTTTAAAATTTTGAGAGAGTCTTGCCAAACTGTCTACCTTTCAATCTTCCTGCCTCCTGGAGTGCTAGGATTACAAGAATGTGTCACCATGCCCCACATTAGCATCAAATTCTTTTTCTTGGAACTCAAATTTAAAGGTATTCCATTAATCCTCAATTATTCATCTACTTGAAGGAACCTACTCCATAACTGACTTATCAACCTTACAGATTCACATGTTGTCTTAACATCAACATCCTTAGTAGCTTCTTTAACTCCATCTTTATGACTAATCTTCATGAAGTTTTATCATGTACATCTCTTTAGCTAATCACACAATATATGCTTGATAATAGTCTGTTTTTCGTAAATCAACACTCAACAAACCTCCACTTCCATAATCATCACAGCTGTGTGGACAGCACTGCCTGGGCAATCTCATACTGAAACAGACAGTTGAATCTCTATCATTCTTTCCCTTCTACAAACCAAACAAGACTGTCTATAGTTCCTCTGCCACATTTTGTTACTTCATTATACACTGTAATCCTGAAAAAGAACATAATTATTGCTAAAATCAACTCTGCTCTATCATGCTTTAAATTTGCAAAGCACAGATACAGTAATCCAAATATCCCTGATACTTGATCTGAGAGGTACAGGTTCCCTACTCTTAACATATCCCTCTTCAAAAAAAGCAACTCCACTTTACAAACTAAAACCAATGAATATGTGAACTAGCTTATCATCTCTTTTTTTCTTTTGATTTTCTGAGAAACAGCCTTGCCATTAAGTAAGTCCATTAACTCACAACAATCCTACCTCAGCCTCTAAATGCTAGGATTACAGGTGTGAAGCACCACACCCACTGGTATGATTTGTTTTTTAAACAATGAAATTCTCAAAAGGAGTAGGCATGATTCCTTTACTAGTTAACCATACTACCTTTTGGAAGTTCCTTCATCTCTGAAATTTATTGTAGTATTCATTCCATCACTAACATTCTGTGATTCTAACATTCCAAGGAGATCTGAAGATCTGAAGCAGGAAGATCTCAAATTCGAACCCAGCCTGGGCAACTTAGTGAGACCCTATCTCAAAAAAATAAAAAGGGCTGGAGATAGTACCTTGCCAAGAATGGGTAAGACCTTGAGTTCAAGTCACAGTACATCAAGGAACAAGCATAAGAAAAAAAGGAGGTAAAGAGGAAAACATTAAAATAAACTAGCCCCAACTTAAAAACTGAATTGAGGAGCATGAACATCCTATCTGCCTGACTGCATTCCTTATAATCATGCACTTACTAAATGCAGGAACTCTGCATCTCTGACCTTGTGTAACTTATATTCTAGTGTCCATGATTCACTGAGACTGGTTGAGTGTCGAACCCATCAGTAATGTGCTTTTGCAACTGTCTGCAATAAATCTGACCATAAATATCTTATCCTAGTATCGATGAGTGAGAATTTAAAGTATACCGAAAAACTTAGATACAGTTTTCCTCCTGAGCACCAGAAGCAACAAATAGCTATAAAAATTCTTTCTTCAAAAAATCAATATAAACTAAAGAAACCAACAAGAAATTTAAAGGATCATGCCTAAATAATGAGAACCTACCTTCTTATTTTAATACTGGTCCTTCTGGTCACCTGTAAAATAAGCACTTGTACACAAACTTTGGATGTGTGGCAAAAGGCACAATTGTGTGACAGAGCACATGCTCAGTATGGGCCCTAAATTCAATCCCCAGCGCCAAAATAAAATAAGCAGTAACAATTAAATGACAACTTATCATCATTTATATTTAGAAAATGCTGTTAAGTTTAAAAAACAAACAAACAAAAAACCCAGGGCTGTTAGTATAGCTCAATGGCAGGGCATCTGTCTGTATGCCAGGCCTAGAGTTCTTTCCCAAATATCCCTCACCAATACACTCACAAAAATCTTTCAACTGATATATGTTCAAGCCAATCACGTTGACATTCTCCTGTTCCATCATTCAAAAGGCTGAGATAGGAAGACCATGAGTTCAAAGCCAATCTAGACTATTATAGTAGGATTTGTCTCAAAAAAAAAAAAAGTTGAAGCTTATGTATTTGGCTCACATATCCTTCAGAAAGCACTGGTTTAAGATAATATCAATAGTACACTTCTAAATCTGTGAACAGAATATATAAACATGTTTGAACTGGACTCGGAATTTTATTTATCTTACTCAGCTCAGACTAGTCAGCATGTTATAATCAAAATATGGAACATTTTTATACCAAAATATGTAAATGTCAGAGACTACAGTGAAATTGTTTAACAAAGTACCAATTAAAAATTTGGGTGACCACTGTGCGCAGAAGGCATTCCATCTGTAAAATAACATACTCTGTTGCAATTGAGTAGTAGAAAGGTCACATATTCCTATGTGGCTAATACTTCCTCGAAGTGTCTGGCACCGTGTTAAGAGCTTTATTCTCACTGACCCATAAAATCCTCACAACTACCATGTGTAGTACAGACTATTATTAATACTATTTTTAAAAGAAGCTGGAGCAGAAAGAAATTAAGTAAGTCACACAGATAGTTGACCTGTGGAACCAGGATTCCAACCCAACAGGCTTGGTCCAAAACTACCCCTTTTTCCCAGGCAAAAGGATTACAAAAACTGCCACATCTCACAAAATGGGTTTTGGGTATGTGCCCTTTACAAAAAGAATGGTGTACACAGAATTAATGCTTTGTTTCCTATTCTCTATCCCACCCTTCTTGACGGTAGGTTAAAATTAACATTAAATTCTCCCTCTCAGAGGAAGGCAGTAGGTATCCCACCCTTTTGGTCTAAAGCCGGTTTCATCTGCGACAGTTCACTTTAGTCGTCATGACCACGCAAGACTACTGAGTCTCCCCCCAATTCAGACGAGGCCTCCCCGCCTTAATCTTCATTCTAAGCCTTTTCCACACTATTGTGATTGTCCTCACCAGAATGCTCAAGGGGTCTATTGTATCCACCATTTATCCTCAGTGCCTAGCATCAGATGCTCAATAAATATTTGCTGACCGATCTAACTACTTGACCCATCCAGCCAAAGACAGCTAAAAGTGAAATGCTGTATTAAAAGCAAAATTAGTGCTAGAAAGTGCCACCCCACAAGGTGGAGAGTAAGTTCTAAGTTTCACGAAAATTATGACAGTCTAAAAGAAACGAGTATACTCAGGGAATGGTTATGATGATCCTCCCCAACAACACAGCAAGTAAAAGAAAAACTATTTAAAGCAATCATTTATCCAATTTAATTTCATCCATAGTTTGTTTTATGAGAATAAACTGCTGATAATGTCATTAAAGTCCAAACCAACGATTTCAGTAATGCTATAAACTGGCTGAAATCCTTTTTATTTTGACAAGTCCCAGGATTTGAAGTCTGCAGGTGTTTTTCTAAACAGTCTCATTATAAAATTAAGCTGCATTTAAAACGAGTTTTACTGCCCTCCCCCAATGCTGGAGCTGTCCTTAAAAAGTCAACAGGAGAAGAAAAAAGTGGGTTTTACAATTACTTTAATACAATTAATGCTAGCGCCAGAATCAAAAGGAACTTTTTTAGAGTCTTCCTTTTTCGTTTCCTAAGCGACAAAATGATAAAAAATGTCAATCGTTACTGTGTTTCTTCCACACCAAGTAATTTTGAAACGTGGCACAAGCACATTAACAGGTTCTTAGGGATATGACCCGCGGAATACTCTGCTGTAAATTCTAACGCCAAGTAAAATAAGGGAAAACCTGACTTCATTCCGTCAGGCTAAGGACAGAAACTGATCATCTTCCTCAGATTACTGTTTCTGTTGATGTCTTGAAAAGCACAGTGAGCAAACACGCCCGTAGATTCCCACTCCAAGCACGAAGAGCCTCCGATTGTTCCACACATCAATGGATTAGTCAACGCGGACAATTCGCTTTTCCCCTCTAATGTGCTTAATTATTATTCACACAAATCTTCAAGTTTACTGTTATGCGCAAACTGATTCTTCTCTTTGCCCTCAAATATAAACGCAGACCTTTTCCACGTACCTAGTACTGCTTCAATCACAACCACAAAAATATGCCCCTTGGAAATATCATACATCTTAGTAACTCTATGCAAATATGGAAAAAGCCAGTCAAGTTGCGTAAAGAAACAGAATTTTGGAATGTTATTAATGCTGCATATTTTGTGCCTACAGCGGGCACTTTAGAATGAAGAGCTGAAAGTAAAGGCCGGGTGAAAAGGGAAAGACCCCGCCCCAGTGTACTCGATGCCCATTGAAACAGTAACTTGGATCTGTCGTTTGGAATCTGAATCACTGAAACAAAGGCGTAAATTACGGGAAGCAAGATGTCTGGAGGGGAAAAAAAAACGGCTTGCAGCTACAGGGACAGTACATCACCCTCCCACCAGTCTTACCTATGGTGGAAATGAAGGTGGTATTGAAGGCATCATCAGAAAAGCGAAAAAGGACGCAGGTCTTCCCCACTCCCGAGTCCCCGATCAGGAGCAGCTTGAAAAGCAGGTCGTACGTCTTCTTCGCCATTGGGAGGAGCGGCTCAGGCTCTGGCCGCCGGCGGCCCCAAGGGATCGGTCCCTCGCACTACGGCCAACTCCTCACCCGGGCGTTCTCGGGCCGGAGGACCGGGGAAGCGTGGGAAAAAGGAGGGTTCGAGAGGGCGCGGGCGACCTACAAATAGCCTTGTCGAGGAAGCCCAGACAGTGGCAGCCCCTGGTGCCTCCGAGGACGGCGACGGCGGATCCGCAGCCTCTCCCAGCCGCTCCGCCCGGTTCCGGGGAGTCGGTCGGGACAAAATGGCCTCCCCTCCCCCTCAGGGCTGCTCGGCCGGGACGCTCCCACGGGCGAGCAAGCAGGTTCTGCTGTCAAGAGAGAGCGGCGGGCGCGAGGACAGCCTCTACCGAGCAGAAACTCCGCGTCAGGACGCGGCGAGGGCGGCGAAGGAGAACCGCGAGGCGGCGAGCCCAGCTACATAGCCCCAGGAAGCCGAGCCACCCGGGCCAAAGCCACCTTTTTCCCGTGCCCTCTCACGCCGGCGTGCGCGCTGCCTGAGACGCACGCAAGGACGTACGCCCGCCCTTCCCTCGCGCCCTCGCCCTGCGGCCCGCCTCCGCGCACGCGCGCAGGGAAGCAAGGGGGGGGCATGCGTGGTCGGAGAAAGGAGCAAGGCCCTAGTCTGAGACCGGATCGCGAGGGCCGAGGGGTGGGGCCGGAGAGGGCGAGGCCGCAGGCGCGCTCCCTGTGGCTGCCTGATAGGGTGCGCGACGCTGCGTGCACGCCCCGCGGGAGGTGCGGCCCAGTGCCTGCGCAGGCGCAGTGCCGCGGCTCGACCGCGGTTTTTCCCTTGATTTCTGGGGCAGCTGTGCGGACTGTGAGGGAATTTCTGTGCTCCGGGTTTGCCGGGGATGTGACGCTGAGGCTCTTGGCGCAGCGACGGGTGTAGGTGGTCATGTGTTGGTATGTAAGTGTGGCTCGCAGATGCGAGAAAAGCAGCGCACTGAAGCGTTTAGTAATAACCTTTGTTCATAAACGAAAATCCTAGCAGAGTGCCCTTCCTGGTGAATCAGCCGTGACTGGGGAAAACAGCGCCCCATCCGGGCTTCTTTAAGGAGGAAGAACTGGCGTTTGAGAGAGCAAGAATTCGGAATGGAAAAACTGACCACGCTGCCCTGGTTGGGATGATGTAATCGGCCTTCCGGGGCGAGAAGGGACGAACTGACGGGCACTTGAGTGCAAACTGACCTCCTGCACATGGAAGTTTGGCTGCTGTGCCCTGCACGAGGAACCCGGACCTTTGTGGTCCTTGAGGAGCCCGGAGTGCTGAGAGCTCCTTACAGAGGAAGTAGGGCCTGCCTGTGCCCTAAGTCGATCATCTGTTCGAAAATCTAGTGGTGCAACCTGCCCAAACCCGTCCCAGCATCACTCCTGCATGTTGTTTGTTACGCACTTTCTTCTCCCAGTTACACCTCCCTTTCCTCTTCTATCATTCTGTTCCTGAAATATTCATACTCTTGACCTATCTTCTGTCCTCGTGCGCCAATCGCTCCTGCCCATCGTGATGGAGTAGTTGAGCGAGTGAACCAAGTCAGTCTTTGAAAACCGTAGAACTAGAAATTGAGGAACAGGGATGAAGAGAGACGAGAATACTGTTTTTTTTACACACAACCCCTCCATCACCAGAACGTGTATTTGATACGTAGTTAAAATGAGTCTTTGAGGCAGTTCCGGTCATCATGTTTCAGTCTCATGTTCTTTAAAGACTTGTCTTACCTTCTTTCCTAAGCTTTCCAAAAGTTTCCTTACTTAAGATGTTCTTTTCCTCTAATATACCTCCTTCTATTGGATTCTCTGGTTACTGTTCTTAGGCTTAATGCTTAAAACTTAACTACCCTCTAAGGGTAAAATCAATTCTAAAATCAATTCTTAACTACCCTCTAAGGGTAAAATTAGCTGTGCAAATCATACAGAGAGCAATGGCCAATTCTTCATAGATTTGTCAACTGAGAGTTTTTTGTTTTGGTACTGGGCATCATCGAACTCATGACCTGGTGATTGTGAGGCAGGCAATCTTAACCTTGAGTGTCTCAAGAAAATCTTAAGTGTTTGCTTGATTGTTCCAGAACAAATTCAATTAGCATAAGCACCAATGTTGTAAAGTATCTTGAAAGTAGTATGTATATGATAGTAAAAGCTAGGCGTGGTGGCTCACGCCTATAATCCCAGCACTCGGGAGGCTGAGGCAGGAAGATCCTTGCGAGTTGGAGACCAGCAAAGTAATGTATATGTATGCAGAAAGCTTAATTTAGGGAGTCACTACTGTTACATAAATTTGAAGAGTAAGGGCCAGCTAATTTTTTTGTCTATTTAGGAAGAGTTGGAGAATATATTTTTTAAACTTCTTTCTGTGTGATGTTTCCAACCACCTTACCAATTAGAAATTTCACCCATATCTTGGAGACTTTAGGAATTTTCATCTTCTTTTTTTTTTTTTTTTTTTTAACTTTTTTCGGTACCAGGGACCAAACTCACAACCGCCTGCTTGCAAGGCAGGTGCTTATGCCACTGAGCTAAATCTCCAGCCCCTTTCATCTTCTTTTAAGAATAGGAAAAAAAAAAGAATAGAAAAATTTATTGGGGAAAAGAAATGGAGCATAGGAAAAGCTCTAAGAGACAGGAGGGGTCTCAAATAGGTTGGACTCCAAACTTCAGTGGTGAATTACACTAATTATTAAATTTTGTTATTGGGTCAGCATCATAGAGTTTTGAAAGTGAATGTTTGAAATCATAACTGAACTCCTGTACATGGTTCACAGATGAAGAATCTGAGGTTCAAGAGAGGCCAGGACTTGCTGGAGGTTAGTGGAGAGCTGGGGCTATATGGGAATGGGAAGAGGGGAAATCTCCACATAATGTGGCACTGCATGAAGGTAGGAATTGGGTGGGTCAGCGAATACTGAGTGCTTCAATTCCTTAAAGTCAACCAGAACGAGGCTTAACACAGTAGTAGGTACCATTGTGACTCTGGTAGAAGTGGTCGAAGCAAGGAAGACCCCTGACCTCTGACTAGCAAAAAGAGTAAAGTGGGGCTCTACAGGGACCTAAAGATAAACCAAGAATTATGAAATAATATTTGATGAAAATGGAAACCATAAAAACCCAGACCACATCTCTAATCCTGCCATTCAAGAGGCTGAATCAGGAGGATTGTGAGTTTGAGGCTGATCTGGATTACATAGCGAGAGCTTGTCTCAAGAAACAAAGATGAAAAAGTGAAAGAAATTTCAGTCTTCATGGCAGGTCAGAGTTGTAGGTCAGTAACAGAGTGTGTGCTTGGCATGCCCAAGGCCCTGGGTTCCATCTACAGCACTGCAAAAAAACAAAAGGTGGGCACAGTAGCATTTCTGTAATCCCAGCACTCAGGAGATTGAAGCAAATGGATGGTCTGAAATTTGAGCCCATCTTAGGATACCTAGTGAGTTCAAGGCCTGTCCAAACTAATAGCATGAGACTATCTCAGACTATCTCAATAAAAAGAATTTTTAAAAAAAGGATAGAAAACAATTCCAATCTGGTACTCATTTATGGTTTATGGCTTTTACAGAAGTGCTGTATAATGACTCCACTGGGAATATTTGTGAAACTAAAAACATAGGTTTTTAGGTATCATGTGTATAATTTCCTAGAAAAAGCACAGCTGAGCAGCTCATGGTGCTAACCTTCAGCTTACCTGTCTTTCATTACCTGTCTTTATGACTTATAAAAAATTTCTGTCTCAAAAGATAGTGGCAAAAAAAAATATTCTGATTTAGAATCTGCTTCACCATTGTTCCCAAGTATTACTGTTTAGTTACTGTACCAAATTTCTTGCTGTTTTCTCCACTGTGCTCTATGTTGTTCATAGAGCCTTCCCTCGAGGGAGAGGACCCACTGTGCCATCCACCTGCTCGCTGTAAAACTTACCCCCTAGCCCCTGGGACTTTGCCTATTTACGATTGCCCATTTCATGGTGACCACAATCGTCCTGCAGGGACCTTCTGAGGAAGTTAGACTGTTTTTAAATGCCTACTGCCTCAGCTACCGTTGTTCACATCTTTAAAATCTGCAAAAATTCTGCTCTGTGTGTATAACTTGTTTGTTTTGTTTTTGTGATGACCCTCCTGCCTAACCCTCCCGAGTACTAGGATTACAGACGTGTGCCACTTTCCAGTTTCTGCCTGTATGTCTTGATGATTTAGCCCCTGACCCTCTTGGAAAAGTATTGCCCCCTGAGACAGTCATCCCTAGACTTTGTGGGTTCTAATCCAAGCCAGGGATGCACCCACTCTGACATGCCACCTCCTCAGTTGGTAGCTGAGGGCTCCTGGCCAACCTTTGTTACCCTGGCTTCTATACACTTCTCCAAACAAGCTCAGCTTTCTTTCAGACAGTTACTATGTGTCCTTTTTATTTCAAGTCTCTTTGAATGTAGATCTCTGCCTGTGAAATCCACCCTTTCTTCAGGCCACCTGCCCTCCCTTCAGCCTTCAGCTTCAAAGTGACTGGCTTTCCTTGTATTCTTGCTGTAAGTAACCTATTTCTGCTCTGAACTCCGTTAGTACACCTTAAATATCAGTCATATCTCTCCCTTTTCGTTTAACAAGTAATACATATTTCCTTTAGAGACTCAGAAACTGCAGATAAGAAAAACAAATTTATTTATTATTTATTCATTTAGTTATCTGGAATGTCCTAGGGATTGAACCCAGACCCTTTACACTAAACTACATCCCCAGATCTTTTTGGCCCAGGCTGACCTCAGACTTGTAATCCTCCTGCCTCAGTCATCCAGAGTGCTGCAATTATTATTTTTTTTTTTTTTTGTCTTTTTCGTTTTTATCGGTACCGGGGATCGAACTCACGACTGCCTGCTTTCAAGGCAGGCACTTATGCCGCTGAGCTAAATCCCCAGCCCCTAGAGTGCTGCAATTATAGGCATGCACAACCACACCTGGATCTAAAATGTGTAATTATTTTTTAATTTTATTGGTACATTTTAGATATACATAATGGTAACATTAATCATATGGAATTTATTCCTGTATAAAATTTTTATTATTAAAAGTTGCACCTGTAGAGATTAACATTTTGATAAACAGCCATTTATCAAATTGTCTTCTTATATTTTTTTGCTTTGCTCTTAAACCTGGGTTATGACCAGAATTTTACGCTTAATATGACCAAGGTCGTGAGTTATGACCCAAATACTGACTGCTTGTGTGACTGTAAACGAAGACTTGAGATGCCAGAAAAGCTTATGCAAGCCTGCGTAAGCAACAATCTGAGCCCAGATGCTTGTGTTTGTGGACATGATTTCAGGCAATGCTTTACATAATCACTACAATTGCTGCTATCAGAATGGCCCCGAATAAGTTGGAAAAGAAGCTAAGGAAGGAAGCAAAGAGAAAGAAAACAATACAATGGAAAAGAACAGTGTTAAAGAAAAGACAGAAACAGACAACCCTAGACCACTTTTTAGTTCTGA